TTTGTCTTTTTTCTTTCTCGGATTACCTTGAAACGGCGAAAGGGGCGCCTTCAATGACATACCCAATCCACCGGACAGAAAAGGAGCCGCCAGGCGCCGGCAGCGGCGTGTGTTGCCTGTGGTGGTGACGGATGTGGGCTTTGCGGCGTTCAGGCGGTCAGTTTTAGCCGTAAAGCTTTCCAGTTCTGACAGACCCCTATAAGAATTATTACTATTCCAGGTTTTGAGGAAACCTAAAGGAAGGTTGAACGGGGCGAGGTTCCACTAAAAACCTCCCAAGTTGATGTCAGGGAAAGGTGTTCCGTGGATCTATGTTGGCAGGCGGAGCCTGAAGAGGCGCCCAATTCCTGCATCGCCTGCGGCAATACTGGCTGTGGACTCTGCGAAGAGGGTCACGCGAGCGCGGCACAGGCCTGCGCGCAAAGCGCAAGACGTGGAGGGAGTTCAAAACGAGTTCACCCCCCTTTCCCCCCTCCCCTCAAATTGTGTAAAACTTAGGACAGGTCTCCCTCCAGGTGTGTCTCCTTCAAAACCAATGGACCGAAACCTGCGGGTTTTGTTTTTCCGATCGTTTAATTTTGAGCCACGCCCAATGTGGTCCTGGCGGTGGGTCAAGAGCGTTTTGGTACCATTCTGGGGTAGGTGAATTCACCACCCATTTTAGAAATGGGATTTCTAGGTTTGGAGACAGATCCAAATGCCGGCCTAAGGGCGAGCTCGATGTTTTTGACGCAGGTCGCGAGGAAAAGCTCCGAGCCGCCCGTGGACGAAGGAGACATAGAAACTGCCCACGCGTGGCGTGCTCAGAGCTCGTTCCCGTGAAAAGAGTTATTTTCAAATGGGTATGGGTCAAAATAAACCAAGCAGGATATGGACCGCAGGTTTTAGTCTTTGGTTCCATTTATCAGGGCAAGCCATTTTGGGTACGCATTTTTGAGCCACAGCCAAATGGGTTTCCTTTCGGTTTCCCGTACCAAGCCAAGGGTACCCTCGAAGTCTCGAAGGGGCTGGTGGTTTCCACTTGGTTTCACTAAAAAAAGCATACCATGTGTTGAGACGATCGGCCCAATCGTTCTTTGCACTCGCATTCCAGGTCTCCAACTTGCAGCATCAGTTTATCCAAAAGGAGTGCTGCGCAGGCTTCAGTGCGCCTGCAGATGCCTTTCATGGACTCCTGCATTTGTGCTGATGCAGGTATTCTCTACCCCTTCCAAGAATTGCATAGGCAAGGCCAGAGTCAAAAGGTGCTGGTTGATGGTTGGATGGCAAGGCTTGGGGCACGGGTTCATGAGCGCGACAGGGTTACCCGGCGGAAAGCTTGTGATGTGAAGACCTGGCCGAAGTGCTTGTGTTTGAACCGGCAGGAACTCCCCACTTGGTCGTGGACACTGGAATGAGCCACAATCAAAACCCGGGTCGATAAAAGAGTCGCAAGGGAGAATCCCAACCATCAATGTGTGCAGCCGGCTTTTTCATTCTTTACATGGTTCTTCGTGGGCCATTGAAGCAGCAGGTTTTGATTGCAACTCAAATGAGCCAGCCAAAGAAAGAAAAGAAAGAAAGAAAGCAAGAAAGAAAGAGAGAAAGAGAGAAAGAGAGAAAGAGAGAAAGAGAAAGAGAGAAAGAGAGAAAGAGAGAAAGAGAGAAAGAGAGAAAGAGAGAAAGACACAAAGAGAGAAAGAGAGAAAGAGAGAAAGAGAGAAAGAGAGAAAGAGAGAAAGAGAGAAAAGACAAAGAGAGAAAGAGAGAAAGAGAGAAAGAGAGAAAGAGAGAAAGAGAGAAAGAGAGAAAGAAGGAAATAGAGAGAGAAAGAGAGAAAGAGAGAAAGAGAGAAAGAGAGGAAGAGAGGAAGAGAGGGAGAGAGGGAGAGAGAGAAAGAGAGAAAGAGACAAAGAGAGAAAGAGAGAAAGAGAGAAAGAGAGAAAGAAAGAAAGAAAAGAAAGAAAGAAAGAAAGAAAGAAAGAAAGAAAGAAAGAAAGAAAGAAAGAAAGAAAGAAAGAAAGAAAGAAAGAAAGAAAGAACGAAAGAACGAAAGAAAGAAAGAAAGAAAGAAAGAAAAGAAAGAAAGAAAGAAAGAAAGAAAGAAAGAGAGAAAGAGAGAAAGAGAGAAAGAGAGAAAGAGAGAAAGAGAGAAAGAGAGAAAGAGAGAAAGGCAGAAAGGCGAGAAAGAAAGAAGAGAGAAAGAAGAGAGAAAGAAGAGAGAAAGAAGAGAGAAAGAAAGAAAGAAAGAAAGAAAGAAAGAAAGAAAGAAAGAAAGAAAGACATAAAGAAAGAATGACAGAAATAAAGAAAGAAAGAAAGAAAGACAGACAGACAGACAGACAGACAGAAAGAAAGAAAGAAAGAAAGACAGACAGACAGACAGACAGAAAGAAAGACAGAAAGAAAGACAGAAAGAAAGAAAGACAGAAAGAAAGAAATACAGAAAGAAAGACAGAAAGAAAGAACGCAAGAAAGACGGAAGGAAGAAAGAAAGACAGAAGGAAGAAAGAAAGACAGAAAACAAGAAAGGAAGAAAGGAAGAACTAAAGAGAGACAGGAAAGCAAGAAAGAAGGAAAGAAGGAAAGAAGGAAAGAAGGAAAGAAGGAAAGAAAGAAAGAAAGAAAGAAAGAAAGAAAGCAAGAAATAAAGAAAGAATGACAGAAATAAAGAAATAAAGAAAGAAAGAAAGAAAGAAAGAAAGAAAGAAAGACAGACAGACAGACAGACAGACAGAAAGAAAGAAAGAAAGACAGACAGACAGACAGACAGAAAGAAAGACAGAAAGAAAGACAGAAAGAAAGACAGAAAGAAAGAAAGACAGAAAGAAAGAACGCAAGAATGACGGAAGGAAGAAAGAAAGAAAGACAGAAGGAAGAAAGAAAGACAGAAAACAAGAAAGGAAGAAAGGAAGAACTAAAGAGAGACAGGAAAGCAAGAAAGAAGGAAAGAAGGAAAGAAGGAAAGAAGGAAAGACGGAAGGAAGAAAGAAAGACAGAAATAAAGAACCACAGAGAGAGAGAGAGAGAGAGGAGCAGGCAGATACAGGACCTGACAGTGGCCACAAGTGACTTGTGCCAGCAATCAGCTCGACTCTCGGGTGCCAGGAGCCGTAGTGCACATCTGATTCCGTCACTTCCTTGAGATCCTCGAAGCTCGTTCTGGTGATAGCCAGCCTTGAAGTACCAGAACGAAGCTGGATCTCAAGGCACTTTTCACCTTCAACGAAAGTTATGCCTGCTTTTCAAGGGAAAGCTTCCCGTTGCATGTCCCAAAGGGAGTCAACGGCAAGTGGCGTGCACGAGGCTCTAGCTTCCATTGCGGTTGTCAGAACGCTGCCTCGGAGAAGCACGCTAGCCGGAACCTCCAGCTGCGAGCGCGGCCAGCAAAACGTGGAGCGTCGTCTTTTTTTGACATGCTGAAGAGCATGAGTCTATTGTCCACACCATGAGCCACGCGATTCTCGGAGGGTGAACGTAGATGGCACAATTATTTTCATGAAAGGGGATGACAAAACCCAAATCGGGATGATTGCGCCATCGACTTTCAGCCAATGATAAATGCCATCCCACAGGTTCTTGGCCTTGGTCTGGGCAGCCCTTGCCATTTTATTTCCAGCGTTTCACTTTGGTTCGCCAATATGTCGCAGCTAGAATTCCGCCACTTGGAAGCACTTGAGATGTAGTTTCTGTGATGCACTTGAGTAATGGCCAGTGTTCCTTTGGCTGGGATTGGCAAAATGTGTTTAACCAGCTGTTTGAAGCAATAGTAGCTCAAAAGCTTGAGCCAACGCTGTTTTTGGCTGTCGTAGACGCCACGCAGATCCCACACATGAACACGTGCGTTTTTGTGTGCTCGCAAGGTGGACCCTAAATGCCTGGACAGGCCTGATCGATGCTATTGCCGATGTGACTGCAGCCTTCGCTCAGACTGTTGAGGTGCTACAAACGCGCTTCAAGCTCTCTAAAGACCAAGTCTTGGGCGAAGGCAGGGTTGACGGGATTTGAGCACGTGCTTTCTGGTATGCCAAGAGGAGTACGCTTTCCTGTGTCGCTCGGTTGTGCTGCACGTTCAACACACGCGTACTCTGCGTTGCAAGATCCGAAGCACGTGCGACCCAATGATTCTGCCGTGATGCAAATGGAGTTGCACGGATCCTAGATCCTGTGACAACGTGATGCCAACGCACCTCAAACGCTTAAAGTTTGCACTGCCGAGTCGAGCAACGCCACGCGCGAGTTGGGATTGGTTTGTCCCAGTTTTTCCTAGGGTTTCCTCCCAACTGCCTCGCCGGGACTTTGTCCATGGCGGAAGGCGGAGTTGAAAGTTGACAGTTTCGATTCTCGGACCTTAGCCTTCCAACTCCAAGTCGCATCCGCGCCGTTTCTGTCTTGAGGCTCTTGGAGAGCGATGTCGAGCTGGTCCAAAGAGCGAGAAACACAACTCAGACAAACACAAACAACTCAAACACGAGATGGACAGATGGAGCCGCACTTTTATCCTCCTTTGGAGAGATCGTGGGCTGCCTGCTTGAGGTGCTTTGGCGTTGCTTGTTCTCCAGTTCCCCAAAGCAGGAACCCACACTTATGCCATTGTTTTGTTGCACTCTCTCTCTCTCTCTCTCTCTCTCTCTCTCTCTCTCTCTCTCTCTCTCTCTCTCTCTCTCTCTCTCTCTCTCTCTCTCTCTCTCTCTCTCTCTCTCTCTCTCTCTCTCTCTCTCTCTCTCTCTCTCTCTCTCTCTCTCTCTCTCTCTCTCTCTCTCTCTCTCTCTCTCTCTCTCTCTCTCTCTCTCTCCCTCTCTCTCGGGATGAGCATCAAAAAACAATTATTTTGGGGATCAACAACAAATTATTTAGGGGAGCAAAAACAATTTATTCTGACCTAGTCTCCTGGTTCGTGGTCTCCTGGTCTCCTGGTCTCCTGGTCTCCTGGTCCCCATGTCTCCCCGCTGGTCCTGGTCGCTGGTCTCCTGGTGTCCTGGTCCCCGTGCTCTCTCTCTCTCTCTCTCTCTCTCTCTCTCTCTCTCTCTCTCTCTCTCTCTCTCTCTCTCTCTCTCTCTCTCCTCTCTCTCCTCTCTCTCTCTCTCTCTCTCTCTCTCTCTCTCTCTCTCTCTCTCTCTGTGTCCCTCCCCTCTCTCCCAACACATATATGTATATATGTATATATATATGCTACCCCCCCTTGAAATACTCAGGTTTTGGTTTTTTTTGCCAGACTGGGGGTGACAAATTCCTTGCGACTCTGAAATGAACTGACTGGACGCTCAACTCCATGCAAATTCCAACCAAGCAGAAGTTAAGCTCAACGTTGAAGGAGTTGCGAGTTGTGTGACCGTCACATTGGCGTGCGCGAAGTGCACTTAAAGACACATTGGAGTATGCAAAGTTCACTTTGGCAGCTCCAGCTCAAAAAGCACAACTGTCCAGTACAAGAGTAGTGCCCGAAGTATGCTTTGGCAGCCTCAATGCGCCTGTAGCAGCTCTACTATTGTGTGTTTCTATTTTTGTTTGGCTGCGAAATTCAGCAAATCATCAACTTGGGGAAAAGGAACTCATTCCTACTTCATGTCCTGGCGTATTTGCATTTTCATGTTAACTCGAGTGTTGTGCAGAATTCCGTGTACATGCTAGTTCAATCTGTTTGAAACATATGTTGCAAAGCAACTATCCCATGTGTGTGTGTGTTGCTTGTCTAACTTGGTTCCATCATCGCCAATAACAAGTATTGAAATTCAAGTACGGGAAGGATATCCAGTTTAAAACGCTTTCGAGTTCAAACCAAATTCAAGTTTACTCGTTTGGAGTTCCTTGTGGATTTCAAAAATCAACTGGAGAAGATGGCTATTCTCCTTATCGAACTCCATGTGGTTTGAACCAAGCAAGAACTAAGCCAAGCCAATGCCTGGAATGTGCTTTCAATCATAGATTTTTTATTGGCATAAATGCTGGAAAACGCAGTGTCTTTCAGCATTTGCTCAGATCGTGTTGCCTTAGATCTAAGATCGAGTATACAAGATTCCACAAACATATGTTTAGAACATCCTCAATCCTGGTCCCCTAAAAACTTGACAGTTTGTTCTAGACGCATTAAGGTTTTGCCCCCTGCATTAAAGATTGAAGATCTACTATATTTTCTATTGAGAATCTTCAATCCTGGCCAGCCCTCAAGTCCACACAAAACCTGTAAAGATGTCAACAACATTTTTTCCCCCTGGCCAAATGCAGGTGCTTGGCAGTGCAAGTGCACATCCACAATTTGATTCTGACAACGTGCACTCCCGGTTTGGCAGCGAAATTCAGCAAATCATCAACTTGGGGAAAAGGAACTCATTCCTACTTCATGTCCTTGCGCAGTTGCATTTTCATGTTAACTCGAGTGTTGTGCAGAATTCCATGTACATGCCAGTTCAGTCTAATTGAAACATGTGTTGCAAAGCAACTATCCCATGTGTGTGTGTTGCTTGTCTAACTTGGTTCCATCATCGCCAATAACAAGTATTGAAATTCAAGTAAGGGAAGGATATCCAGTTTAAAACGCTTTCGAGTTCAAACCAAATTCAAGTTTACTCGTTTGGAGTTCCTTGTGGATTTCAAAAATCAACTGGAGAAGATAGCTCCCCTAAAAACTTGACAGTTTGTTCTAGACTCATTAAGGTTTTGCCCCCTGCATTGAAGATTGAAGATCTACTATATTTTCTATTGAGAATCTTCCATCCTGGCCAGCCCTCAAGTCCACAAAAAAACCTGTAAAGATGTCAACAACATTTTTTCCCCCTGGCCAAATGCAGGTGCTTGGCAGTGCAAGTGCACATCCACAATTTGATCCTGACAACGTGCACTCCGGGTATGCCTTTTAGATTCTTCAAATCTGCACTCAAATCCAGGATCTGAAGATTGAAGGTTCTCTGACAACTCTTTCTGAAATTCTCCAAATATGTACTTAGGGCAATCCAGGATGTGCTAGCACGTGCTAGCGCATCCTGGGTTGAAGATTGAAGATTGAAGATTCTCGGGCCACTTGTTCTGGAAATCTTCAATCCTTAGGACAAAGTGATATGTGCTAGCACGTGCTAGCACATCTTGGATTGAAGATTGAAGATTGAAGAATCCCAGAGAGAGTTGTCAGAGAATCTTCAATCTTCAATCTTCAGTCCAGGATGTGCTAGCACGTGCTAGCACATATCAGCTTGTCCTAAGGATGGATATAAGATTTCCAGAACAAGTGGTCTCAGAATCTTCAATCTTCAATCTTCAATCCGGGATGTGCTAGCACGTGCTAGCGCATCCTGGATTGACCTAAGTACCGATGCTAGAATTTAAGTCTAAAACGGAGCGCATTTTTGGAGCCTATTTTTTAGAAGCTGGAACGTGTGTTTTGCATGCATTTTTACAGCCAAAATGTCAATTTCTGGCCCAAAACCTGAGTATTCCAGGGGGGGTACCATATATATATATATATATGTATGCACACGCACACGTGCACACACACGTGCACACACACGCACACACACGCACACACAC